GGGGGGGGGGGGGGGGGAAAGAGATGTAAGAGGAAGAAACTCACAGGAAGCAGAGTGAGGCAGCTAGCTATCTGACCCCCAAGATTTATTCTCCCTGTTGCAGCACAGGGAGGGGAACAAATTCAAGCCAAACCTCCAATAATTAGATTCTACACCTGGAAAATTATAACAAATTTATAAGTTTAGCATCTATAGAATCTAATTATTGAGAGATCATCTTATATTTAAGTAAATATGGTATTTGCTGATGGCCTATAATTTTGATAACCACTACTACGACAAATTAAATGTTATAATTGAGGCTTTACAATTTAGGACCTCACACTTACAGCATGTGGGTAGAGACCGTACAAGTTTATGGGTCTCTATTATTTCACATAGTACCACCTTTATACTATCCAGAGCTCTTTACCTACAAAGCAAAAGCTTTATTTTACCATTGACATCAAGCATAATATATACATGTATAATTTTGCTCATGTAAATGTTTATCCTATGAGACTAATCTGAAACATTCAGTCTCTAATTTGCAGTTTAAGAAACAATAAATTTATCTTATGCCTTTTGTGAATTTCCATTTCATCCATCATATTCAAATAGTCTATATTACACCTTATGTCTTCCATTGCTGCAAAAAAGGGAAAAATCAAACACACTGAACCACAAAACTGTTCCTTTAAAAAAAATTAGTGATTTCAAAGGTATGTGCAGGAGATGGATGGACACTCTGGCCTGGAAACTGGCCTCAAAGAGCTCTCCAGTTTATAAGGAGGACTGGAGTGAGGGGACACAGAATCTGAAAGGTTAAAAAAAAAAAAAAAAAGAGAGAAAAATAAACAAACCCCGCCATGAATATGTTTTACAAACTATTTTAATGTGCTCTTTATTAGTTCTTATCTATTTTCACATTGCCGCATTGACCAGATAGTCACCAGTGAAGGACACATGAATGTGAAGTTTTAATTTCAAATCTCTGGTGTCTGAAAAAACACATACTGGATAGCTAGAAAACCTATAAAGAGCTACAGTCACACACAGATATAGATATATCTATATATGTATATGTACACGTTTTTATAGGCTTTCCAGCTATCCATGTTTTTAAACGTATTGCAGCGGGGAAAGAAGAGAAATACATATGCCTTCCAGCTATCCATGTTTTTGGATATAGCTATACATGTTCATGTGTATATGCATGCACGCAGACATATACAGGTACTCCTGATTTACCATCATCCCGGTTAATGCTGTTTCATTTTCATGTTGCTGATCTGTTAGAGAACATACTTGTTTGAAGTTGTGCAATGTTTGGTTATAACGCTGCTTGGCCGCCACCTGCTAGTAGGTAACTGCTGTGACATAACTGGATTCGATTAACATCATTTCACTTAAAGTCACATTTGGGCGTAACTACGACATTGAGGAGTAGCTGTAGCCTGTAAACACACACACACACACACAACAATATATAACTATACATGCATAGATATGTATATACCTAAAAACACAGATAGCTGGAAAGCCACAAACATATGCACACTTCATTGTCTTTCCAGCTATCCATGTTCTTAGATCCACAGATACGTATGTATGCATGTGTATATATGTATGTATACATACATATATATCTGGGTGTCCAGTCATGGTGTCTAGACCGTGAAATAAGCTCCCTCCATAAGTGATGCAATCACCTACCCTAGAATTCTTCAAGAGGATACTAGACAATCGCCTTGCCCCCAGTTATTTTTTCTGCCTGGTGCAAGCGACTGGACCCAATAATCTTCCAAGGTCCCTTCCAGTCTTACAATCTATGAATACTGGGGGCGAGAACGACACATGCACACATATGTTCATGTGTGGGGGAGGGCTTTCTAGTTATCCATGCTTTGAGTGTGTTAATGTGCATCTGCATAGGCTTATAGGCTTTCCAACATACGCACACACCTTACTGGCTTTCCAGATATCCATGTTTTTAGGTAGACAGATACACATGTATACGTGCATGTATATATGGGGGGAGGGGGTGTGTGTAGGCTTTCCAATTGTCCATGTTTTTAGAGATGTAGAGAAATGTGTGTGTATATATATATCTATATATCTGTGTGTACAGACATATAGGCTTTCTAGTTTTGATACACAGACACAGGCACACAAATATCTGGGCAACCTGAACCCCGGGCCAAGGAGGAGCAACTTGAGGCGCAGGCATCCCCCGCAGCGCCCCCCCGCCGGAGGAGCGGGGGTGGTGACGTCACGCGGGCTCGCCCAAGCCGGGGCTCGAGCCCTGCGGGCCGTTGGGCGGACGCACCCACCCCCCACACAAAGGCCCTGAAGGTCACGGTTCCCCTCCTTCTCCTTCGGTCGGCCTGCGGAAAAACCCTGCCCACTCAGCGGCCCAGGCCGGGCCGAGGCGCCGCGGGACTCACCTGCATCCCCGGCAGGCCCGGCTGCACCGGCGAGTGCGCCATGGCGGTGGCGGCGGCTCCGGGTGTCCCTCTCCGCTCAGCTCATCGCCCAGCCCCGCGCCCCGCCGGGCGGTCGGGTCAAGTCGGGCGGTCACGGACGCTGTAGCCGCCGCGGCGCCCGC